TCATCAAAGATACTGAACCAGGATATTTTCATCAGAGATACTAGACCCGGATACTTTCATCTGAGATACTAAAGCAGGATACTTTTATAAAAATCACTAATGCAGGATACTTTGATTGGAGATACTAAACCGGGATACTTTTATTCTAGATACTTGACCCGGATACTTTCATCCGAGATGCCGAACCGGCTACTTAAATCCTAGCTACTAAACCTGGATACTTTCAGTAGAGATACTGAACCAGGATACTTTCAGTAGAGATACTGAACCAGGATACTTTCATCGGAGATACCAGACCCAGATACTTATATCCGAGATACTAAATCAGGATATTTAAATCGGAGTCACTAAAGCCGGATACTTTCATTGGAGATACTAAGCCGGGATACTATCATCTGAGATAATAGACCTGGATACTTTCATTCAAGAGATTAAACCTGGATACTCTCATCGGAGATACTAGACCCCAATACTTTTATCCAAGATATTAGAAATGGATACTTTTATCGGAGTTACTAAACCCGGATACTTTCGTCCGAGAAACTAAACCAGGATAGTTTCATCGGAGTTACTAAATCCGGATACTTTCATCCAAGATACTAAACCAGGATACATTCATCTGGGATACTAAACCTGGATACTTTCATTCGATATGCTGAAACTTAGATACTTTCATTCAAACTACTTCAAGTTTACAAGGATACTTTTATTCGAAATCCTAAACCCGGTTACTGTCATCCGAGATACAAAACCTGGAAACTTTTATTAGAGATAGAAGATCCTTTTATTTGAGATACTAAACCTTAATCTAATCTAAGATACTGACCCGGATACTGTTATCCGAGATACTAAACCAGGATATTTTCTTCAGAGATACAGAACCAGAATAAATCCATTTTTACATTTCAAAATCAGCTTATTCATGCATTTTCATCACGCTAAATAAATTAAAAATATTTATCAATGTTTTTAAAAGGTTTTTTTTACCAGTACTTATCATCTATATATAAATTTGGCTTGTCTGTCTGTTTGTCTGTTTGTCTGTTTGTTTGTATCCAATAAACGTCAAAACGGCTGAACCGATCGGATCCAAATTTTTTGTGGGACATCGCGTGACCACAGGGAAGGTTTACGAATGATAAACATTTTAAAAAATGTGTTTTAAAGGTTTTTAAATTTGTAAAAAAAATTAAATTCTTGAAAATCCGCGAATTTTTTTCTAAAAATCCGCGAAATTTTTTTCTTTGTTTTAAAATGTAAACAAAAAGAACATGTTCACAATTTAAATAGAAGATGGGCGCGAAGAGCCCTAAAAGCCTAGAAAGAAGGGCGAGATGCGCCTTGAATTTCTAGTATAATTCATTATATATTATATAAATACAATAAAACTTAAAATCATGTTTGAATACTTATTTGGCTACAGATCATGGCTACAGATTGTATTGAGAGAAACAAGAAACAATTTGTTTATGAAAATAAAATAAATGGAATGTTAAAATGTAATGTTTTAATGATAAATATATTTATTCCGCGTCTCCAAGCTTTACATATAAGATTCACATTTGTTCATCTGAACTATAATATTTTCGGAGACATGGCAGATGCATGGCAGCTTTGATAGAAATTGAATCTGAGATGCACTCCTTAATTAAATCACAGTAAAACTATAATGAATCTCTTTTTTTTACAGAATTAGGATTATGTCATTGACAGTTTTATCTTGCTCTGTCATGGCTTTTTATTTTATCTACCCAGACATTTTCTCTTTTTACATTATTAAACCACTGCAAACTAAACAGTACGAGAAGGTCAAATGTATACGACATTACTGATGGTACGACTTTTTTACCTCGTAGCTCCCCTTGTTTTGATTGTATGCACATGCAATGGAAGGATACGAAAATCAAACTTATCCGATTACAGTTAAGAAATTTTAAACTTTTTAGTTCTTCTTCCCATGATAGCTCTTAACCAGGAGGAGTGAATTACTTTAGCTTAACGTGAGACAGTAACAAATTAAGGATCTAGTCTGTGGGTTACACAGATTTTCCTATTTTCATCGGTGGATTCCAAAAAATACAAATTAATATCTGACTTCCCGAAATCTTCCCTGATGACTGTGAGCCGTGAGGTTCCATCTAAAAATTTAGAGCCGATTGGCTCAGTCGTTTTGGACCATGCTAAACAACCAACACCAATTGTTAATATACATAAACATAAATATCACAAGTGCAAAAATTAAATTTTCACAGGGAAGAAAATAACTTTTAAAAAGATTGTTTTCGAGACCTTAAATATCAATTTAGTCAAAATCTGCAAAGTTTGAATATAAAAACTATATCTTATAACCCCGCAGCATGCATCTCGATAATAATTTTTAAGAGAGTGTTCGCTAAAATATTATCTCACTGTGGTGTGTCAATTAGCATTTTTTTGTTGCGAATTTTTGAGAAGGCGTTTTTTATTAATTTCTGTACAGAAACTTAGTAAGAAATATTGACAATACGTGATATTTTGTGAACACTCCATTTACAGATATATCCTCAACATGTTAAACATCTAAAATCAGATGATCTATCATATGATGCATTACTTAGAAATGAAGCCTTCACTGAATAATATTCATAATAAGTCAATACATGAAATACAATCTATATGATAAAGCTTTTCGCTCATAATGTATATGTTAGTATAGCTGGCCAAACGGCTGGACCAAATTCGGTGAATTTATTTAAGGGAACCAATAGTTACCTTTGGGTTAACATGAATATATATTTGATTTTTCTAAAGTGTTTTAAAATTCCACAGACAACGCCGGGCTCTTGAGCTATTATCTATTATATTTAATTAATGGCGAAATATCATGTGGTTTTGTTGAATCATTTGTTGAATAACAGGATCGGAGGAAGACGATCTGGATCTTTAATTCATAGTTAATCTTAAAAGCCAAATGTCCTTTAATTACAAATACAGTCAAACGTAAAAAAGAATTTGTTATATTGCGACTGGGACATATACACACATACTTAGTCCTTTCAGATTGGATAGGACACAGTTGCATCTACACAGTTGTGGACTAGGACACAGCCATCTACACAGTTGTGGACTAGGACACAGCCATCTACACAGTTGTGGACTAGGACACAGCCATCTACACAGTTGTGGACTAGGACACAGCCATCTACACAGTTGTGGACTAGGACACAGCCATCTACACAGTTGTGGACTAGGACACAGCCATCTACACAGTTGTGGACTAGGACACAGCCATCTACACAGTTGTGGACTAGGACACAGCCATCTACACAGTTGTGGACTAGGACACAGCCATCTACACAGTTNAATCAAATTCTATGCGAACCTGTGCACAATCAAATTCTATGCGATCCTGTGCACAATCAAATTCTATGCGATCCTGTGCACAATCAAATTCTATGCGATCCTGTGCACAATCAAATTCGGTTTCTAAGTTAGATTTTGGGGGTGTCCCAAATTTTTTCCAATATAGATAAAATTATATTTCTAATTTTTTTCAAGACCAGATAATATCAAACTGTTCTTTACTGCATCAGAAACAACAAAGATATGTAAAAAAAATTTAAACCCAATTATAAAATTTCAATTTTTAAACTTGCTTTCGTCTTTACTTTATATAGTCTTTACAAGTTTTTTCTTATAATCAGAGAAATACTATTTATAATTCCTGAGATATCTCTTGAGAGAAACATGTTTCCTGAGAATTCTCTTCTGCAGCAGTCTGCAGAATATCGCGCAATATATAAACATTTAAAGGGACTGTAAACGTTTATTAGTTTGCAGCATATTGTGCAATATATATACATTTAAAGGGACTGTAAATGTTAATTAGTCTGCAACATATTGCGCAATATATACACATTTAAAGGGACTTTAGACTTTTATTAGTTTGCAGCATATTGCGCAATATATACATATTCAAAGGGACTGTTGACGTTTATTAGTCTGCAGCATATTGCTCAATATATACATATTCAAAGGGACTGTAGACGTTTATTAGTCTGCAGCATATTGCACAATATATAAACATTTAAAGGGACTGTAGACTTTTTTTTAGTCTGCAGCATATTGCGCAATATATACATATTTAAAGGGACTGTAGACGTTTATTAGTCTGCAGCATATTGCGCAATACATACAAATTTAAAGGGACTGTAGACGTTATTATTAGTCTGCAGCATATTGCACAACATATACACATTTAAAGGGACTTGTAGACGTAATTATAAGTGACCCTCAATTGAAAGCGTTACATGTTCGATTTAAAACGGTACCCACATTAGTTCAAAATTGACATGATCCAAACCGGTACAAGGATGCCAGTATAGTCTTTACGGTACCGGCCCGTCCAGTGTACCCAATTTGTGGTTGACCCAACGCGTTTTATGCAAGAGAATAAGGCGGTCTGAACTATAATGTACCCTTTGGCCCTGTATCGAATTTAACATCAGGAAGATATCGTCGTTTTTTGGTTTAGAACTTTAAAGATTTTAATTTAGAATAAGCAATTTTAAGATTTTAAAGAAATCAGGGATAACTACATCAATTTTCTCAGAAAATTATAATCGAGAATATTTTGGCCATGGCAAATAAGAAGGTTACAAGGAAGAAATGTGAAAATCTCTATCATCTGAAGTAGTGAGGCGAGAATAGGAAATCCCAGCCGGGTAGGCTGATCAAATCCTTACCTAGGAGATAAAGAGCATTTATTCAGAGCAGGGTTGACCAAAACCGATAATCTTTTAACCATATAGTCTTAACATCCTAGAGACACTGTGATATAAATTTCATTATGATCGTATAACAATAAAGCCTTTGAGAGAAAAAAGTGTGAAGTGTTTTTTTAACACCTTTTATTTCATCTTTAGACGATATTGATTATAATTAAATGTCGTCCCTCCATTCTTTTTCCATTTCCATTTGTCTAATCTAATATTTATGGTGTGACTAAAGATAAACATGTATTTATGCAAACAACTCTGTATTTCATAAACGTACAAAAATAAGTAGATTCAGTGTAAAAAAAGTAGAAAAAATGTACTAAACACTATTCAGAATGTGAGAGCAAAGATCTATTAAAATTTTCAAATTTCCATTGTTGACGAATCTCTGATTTGATGCAGGTCTCCATCACAAGCTTATCCTTCTCAGGAGAGACAGCCAAACATTTCCTTGAGACAGGATGATAGAGTTCTCCGGACTCATTCCACCTCCACTCCTGGTTACCTTTACCTGCGTGGCAAGTGTACAGGTTGACCGAACCCTGATTAAAGTCCAGGCAAGCTTCGTCTCGTCTTATTTCTCCGTCCTTGGACATCATCCAGTACTGGTTTCCTCCCTATAGTAAACAACAAAGGTTAGGTATTAAATTGTTGTAATTTCGTGCAACCTTCAATCTGAAAAAGTGGCATATCCAATTCACAACGGTATCATTTCATCCTTTATCTAACCAAGACTCTGAAAAACCAAAAATTGACTCTATACACTCTACACTTACAGTCCTTGAAATTACTTTCCCAACCACATTTTCTTCCCAAGTGTATATTTTAACAAAGGAACTTTTTCATAAAGGTTTTTTTCCCAAGTGTTAAATACAGTCAGTAGCTCTTTTGTACAAAAAAGTTATAATTAAAAACATGTGTAAAATTTTGATCTAACATAAAATTTAACTTAATTTTAAAAATGTTGCACGAAAAGAAACTATCTATTTGGTAGACGGTAGTTGCATCTCGAGAAATTTTATATTGGCTGGTGGGGAAATCCTTTTGGGAAATAGAGCACTAGGAAAATTACATCTATACAATAAACAGAAAAAGAAAAATAATAATAATAATAATAATAATAATAGCAATAAAACCACAACAACAACAACAAAAACAACAAAACCACCACCACCAACAACAACAACAACAACAAAAACAACAACACCACCACCAACAACAACAGAGAGAACAACAACAACAACAACAACAACAACACCAACAACAATAACAGTAATAATAATATTATTTCACCTGGCCATGACAAGGATATATTCCAACTGGTTTTCTCATGTTCTGTTTATGAACGTCTGAGTCTATACACATGTTGCTGGTGCCCCCGAACAGGTTCCTGATCTCCCCGTGGGACAACGCCTCTGCAGGCACAAACAGCTCTGGATATACGTTTTTCAAGTACCAAGAGAAGGACTTGCATTGCAGGTTCTCTCGCAATTTTTTTCGGGAGGAAACATCTCCGAAATCTCCAAGTGAGTGTCCAATACGATCATAGTAGTACTCTTTATACTCATCCAACCAAACCTCAGCGAGACGAATTGTATTCCTTTTCAAAACATTAACTCCCGTCCGCCATTTATACGGACTGCGTTTTCTGAAGATATGGCCGACATGTGAGCAGGGAATTATCTCCAATGTGCCTCCACACATCCAGGTTTTAAACGAGATCTCCAGGTTCTCTCCTCCCCAGATATCAAACCCGGAGTCATACGTCCCTAAAGTTTCAAAATAAGATCTGTCAATGGCAAATAATCCTCCAGCCATTGTTGGACTACGCACAGGTTCCGCATCATTTTTCCGTCTTTTACGTTCTCGCTCCGGGACTCCGTGCCAGTTAAAGATAAGGTTCCAGTCGAACCCTCCGACTGCGAGATAAGACGATTTCTGATACGCCAGGGTATCATCGTTAATCACATCAATTACAGGACAGACAACATTCGTTTTATTCCTGGCAATCCTATCCAGTAACGGTTCTAACCATCCCTCAGTGCATTCACAATGACTGTCTAGATATGTAAGTACCTCTCCGGTTGCATGAGCAGCTCCGAGTAGTCGTGCTCGAATCAGTCCTGTCCTTTCCGGGGCTCGGACTATCTTTATAACAGGAAATTTCTCCGCGTACTGTTCAAGTTGTCCCTTGAGATGCTCCTGGGTAGAAGCATCATCAACCAGAACAATCTGTTCCAGGAGCTCCGGGGGGGATCTGTTTATCACAGATCTCACGGTTCGGATCAGAACTGACCAGGCTTCGTTATGGAAGCAGATGATCACACTTGTCTTTGGTAGAACAGAGTTTGGTAGATTTCTTTCAGGTACTTTACACCATTCATCTCTGCAACATTAATATTGTCTGTCTCGAAATAATATTTTATATTTAACAATTGAATCGAAATCTAAATGAATTAAGTCTTTGCCACAAACTCAAATTTTCTTATTGCTCTGTATTTGGTATGTCAAACTTTGATTATTTGGTATAACAGAACTTACAGTTTGAAATATTTAAGGTCTACGTTATTGGATTGAAAAGATATAGATGTTTGAAAATCAGAGTTTGTGGCAAAGACTCAATTTCTTTCTGTAAAAATTTAAAGTGTCCAAGTTTTTACAAGTGACATTTTGTTCCTCTTTTAAAAATAGATTAGACTATAAATAAGAGAATTTTTTATAAATCAAGATATATGAAATACTTGGAATCAAGGATACAAAATACATGGAATCAAGGATACAAAATACATGGAATCAAGGATACAAAATACATGGAATCAAGGATACAAAATACTTGGAATCAAGGATACAAAATACATGGAATCAAGGATACAAAATACTTGGAATCAAGGATGGAGAATAAATGGAATCAAGAATATAGAATACATGGAATCAGGATACAAAATACACGGAATCAAGGATACAAAATACATGGAATCAAGGATACAAAATACATGGAATCAAGGATACAAAATACATGGAATCAAGGATACAAAATACTTGGAATCAAGGATACAAAATACTTGGAATCAATCAAGGATGGAGAATAAATGGAATCAAGAATATAGAATACATGGAATCAGGATACAAAATACACGGAATCAAGGATACAAAATACATGGAATCAAGGATACAAAATACATGGAATCAAGGATACAAAATACATGGAATCAAGGATACAAAATACTTGGAATCAAGGATACAAAATACTTGGAATCAATCAAGGATGGAGAATAAATGGAATCAAGAATATAGAATACATGGAATCAAGGATACACAACACATGGATTCAAGGATACAGAATACATGAAATCAAGAATACAGAAGACAGGATATATAAGAAATACATAATACATCGAATCAGGGGAAAATGTTATACTCCCCTTTTTCTTAATTATCTGAATAATTCTTTTAAATAAAATAAATTTGGTAACCAACCTATGATCTGGTAAGGTTCGATCTAAAGATATAAGATCACTCACGTACTGATTAAAGGCATTATCCTGCCACCCTTTATCAACCAGTTTCTTAGTTTCAGGATCAAGATTCTCAAGTTTAACTGCTTTTCCCATTTCTCCAGGTCCATTAGGATCATGAGGAGCTTCGATAACATGCTCGTCTTGCTTCGGTGGAGCTACCTCTTCCGGAGCAGGTTCTTCTACATCCTTCTTCTCCAGAACTTCTTCAAGTTTTTCATGCACTACTTCCTCATCATTATGTATCTCTTCTTTTACATCTTGAAAATCTTCAAAAGCGTTCGCATTTTCACCTTTTATCACAGGTTCGTTTTCATCGAATTTAACAATATTTTCTAAATCACTTAAAGGGTTTACTAATTTTTCCTCAACAGGCTTATCTTTTTCAAAACTATAGTTTGTTTCGTAGATAAGAGTGAGAATCCAGCAGATACCGACCAGAAACATACATTTTACAACAAGGGTTTTCTTTCTCCTAGTCAACATGTTTCTCCAGCTCAGTGCATGACATGAACTAGGAGTAGTGTTGTTCTTATCTCTGGATTCGTGGCGGAGTAACGTATAAAATATTCATACAATATCATTAGGAAATTACAGGTGTTTTCTACCTTCTTCAGCCTTCCAACAAGATTTTAGAAGGAGAAGGGTGCAACTGACAGGACTGACATATCTGTTTAATAATTCCATTAGAACTGTTTATACAAACAACTGTGAAATGTGCAAACCCCATCAATCAAATAAACAGATAAAGTATAATAAAAATAGTGTCTATGTAGCCTGTATTATCTACTGTAACGGCCCTGTTTTTCAATCTGCAACAATTAACAATAAAATTTGCAGAACTTTTGTTCCTCAAACACTTGTTGAGATTAAGAACAAGGCTTCTCACGTCAAGCTTAAAATAAAATTTATCCAACCTGAAATTTTTTTTATAAATCGAAATACGTCAAAAACGGCCTAAAATGAATGTTTTGTAACTATTTAAAGAACTATGTATTATCTTGGTTTGGATATTATAGAGTTTTTTTTATCAAAAAGGTTACAGCCAAAGTCGGGCCAAAAAAATATTCTGATTCATTTCTTAAAACTTAATTTAGCATTCGCCCTGTATTCTAGGAATCACTAATCCCTACTCTTCTTCTTTTAGCTTTGTATTTATTTTTATGATATTCTTGTTTTTTTTTATTCATTATGTTTTATTTAATCTTGTTATATTTATCTCTGTATAATTTTGTATATATATGAGGGCTAAATTTATAGCAGTCTTAGACCTTTTAGGCTTCGATCGAATTGTAAATAAAATCTTTACTTTTACTTTTTACTTTATTATTTTATGTAATTATATGTTTGTGCACTTGTTCTCATGCAATGATTATTTTCTAGTTGTAATAAGCGTTTAACAAACCATGAATATAGAAATTAAACGTTTTAAGTTTGGTTTAATTAAAATTAAAAAATACTGTTTATAACACAATTATTTTGGTTCCCAATGCAATAAAGTTTCTGGAAAAAGAACATTTAAATACAATAACTTTATAATTTTATAAAATTTGTGTGTACTTGTCTTCATGCAATTGTTATTACTAGATGCATTGAAGCGTTTTATCAAACCAGAATATAGAAAATAGAAGGTTAGCTTTATTTTCATTTACATTGAAAAAGTATTTATGACAATACTTTTCAGAGAAAATTTTAAATGTTTAACACGGCAGAAAAAAAATAAAAATAAATTTCAATTGATAAATTTTTTAGAAATACTCAACTTATTGTCGCGGAAAGTTTAGGATATAATTAAACTATATGGCACAGTGCTATAAACTGCAAGTTAATTTAACATTATATAGCACGATAATTACACAACATAATCACACGTCTATAATGAAATTTACCATAAAGTGACTATGAATGGTAAAGTAAACAATAGTTTCAAATGAAATTATTCTAGAAATATTTAAATTTTTTTTAGTAAATCCGGGAACCAATGAAACTTTAAAGCACGGTGCTATAATATACAGCTAATTTAACATTATTGCATGATGATTACTTTATGGGACGTCTATGTTAAAATTTACCATGAAGTTAGCATAAATGATAAAATCTTCAAAAAAATCAGCTTTTTGGATTTTTTTAGGGTTAAATTTTCTTTTTCAAGTCCTTGACTTTTTAAGGGTTAAAGTCGAAAAAACAGATTTATTCAATTGTTGCAGGCTTAGCTCTGTGCTAAATATACACCGATTTCTTATATATGTCCTATGGTTTGTTCTTGTGGTTAAGAAAACAGATTTGTTCAATTGTTGCAGGCTTGGCTCTGTGCTCAATATANCATTATATAGCACGACAATTACACAACATAATCACACGTCTATAATGAAATTTACCATAAAGTGACTATGAATGGTAAAGTAAACAATAGTTTCATATGAAATTATTCTAGAAATATTTTAAACTTTTTTTGTAAATCCGGGAACCAATGAAACTTTAAAGCACGGTGCTATAATATACAGCTAATTTAACATTATAGCATGATGATTACTTTATGGAACGTCTATGTTAAAATTTACCATAAAGTTAGCATAAATGATAAAATCTTCAAAAAAATCAGCTTTTTGGATTTTTTTTAGGGTTAAATTTTCTTTTGCAAGTCCTTGACTTTTTAAGGGTTTTGAACAGATTTGTTCAATTGTTGCAGGCTTGGCTCTGTGCTCAATATACACCGATTTCTTATATATGTCCTATGGTTTGTTCTTGTGGTTAAGAAAAACTATTCTTCAAACAGCTGTAAAATGAACGACATGAGTCAATTCTTTGAATATGTCAGCGAAGCGCTAAAAAATTTATGTTTTTGGTACATAGATTCTTCATGGTCAAATTTTGATAAAAGATGATCCACATTAATGATCATGATAGAGTTAATTGAGGGGGGGTTATTGGTAAGAAGATTATTGGTCTAAATTTTGTAGGATATTGTAGGACATTGCCCAATCGATCGAGTGTGTTTGTTAAATGGCTTGTCAGAAAAAGAAAAAATCTTTTTTCTCAGTTAGTTTAGATAATTATTCACTGAATCTGGTTCTGCGAAATGTTATACAATGCAATAATAATACAGGAAGTGAGTTCTTGCAACACAACTCTTGTTTTTAAATTTCTTTGCAGCCTGATGTTGTAGACCATCGATATTTCAATTTATTTATTCTGTTAGATCAAATAGTCTAATTGTTTAAAATATCAAAGTTTTTCCTCAAGTTGCAAAGATATATCCGAGATCAGAAAATTTTTGTTTGTGGCAAGAACTCAGTTCTTTTGTGTAAAGTTAAGTTTTCGAAAAAAAAAAATTAAGCTTAAAGTTTAAACTATAAGGACGAAGGTGAGAAACCTAAGCCGCTTATGAGTTTCCCTAATTATTTATATAACATCGATTCTTTTTTTAATTTTTCTATATTGTTGCAGTTTATTTGATCATGGTTTATAAAAGCTCAATTATGACTGTATAGGGGACTGTAGTCACGATATACATATTTTACTCATATTGAATATGACTAAGTCGGGGGGGGGGGGGGGGGG